AGGCTTTGACAATTACCTGGGGGAAGCACAGAGAAGAATGAGTCTTTGGAAGAGGTGAGGGCTTTGGGTGTAAGCAATGCATCCAATAAGGCCGGACATGGAATGGCCGATGAAGATGGTGGAGGAGAGGCCCAGTTCTTCCAGGAGAGCGATCAGATCCTGGGCAAACCCATAATAGGAACAGTACTTTTGAGGGTCAAACAAATTCGGATCTTTAATGGCGCCCGAGAAGCTCCAGTCGAACACCACGACCCGGTAGTGCTGGCACAGCTTCGGAAGGATTTTGTCCCATAATGACTGGTTTGTCCCGAACCCATGAGCCAGAACCATGGCTTCTGCCCCGGAACCCATGATTCTCGCGTTTAAGGCCCTTGACAATAGTCCATTTTCGATCATAACAACCATGTCGAAACAAGAAACGGGAAACAAGAACGAAGAAGAAAAAGGCTTTTATTTTTGTGGCTGTGGACTGCGGCTGTGGTGAGTGATTGTGTCTATATAGGGGGAGGACTGAGGAGGGAGACGGGGGTTGTTGTGCTTGCTATAAATGTTCCTCTTTTTTTTTTCCCTTCTACTTGTCAGAGGTAAACAAAACAAAAAAAAAGAGTATACATTTTTTTTTAAGAAAAGTATCGGGTTCTTGGTGGTTGACATGAATATTATTTTTAACCCCATTGAATATTTGATAATTAAAAAAGAAAAATAAATAGATAGAGTTTTTTTTTAAATAATGAACTGTCAGGTTTTTTTAATGGTTATCCAGATAAGATGAAATCGTTTATTTATCGTGTAATCAATACGCTAATGAATTTGATAATAAAGATTTCTTAGGCACACAAAATTTAAAAGTTTAAGAGGTTATTATTATATAATGTTTTTATATATATGTGGATGAGATGGATAACTATCATATTTAAAGATTTATTGGAGATGATTTTTTAATTATAAAGATTGTGATGGACACACCACATTAAACAAATTGAGGAATAGAATTTATAATTTAACTAGGTATTGATTAAATAGAGTAAAAATAATTCATACAAGAAGGCCAAAAAAAGAAAAAAAAAACTCCTTATCATAAGTGTTTTTTAATGTTAAATTATCAATTTAATATTTGAACTGTGTCTATTTAATAATTTTGACGTCTATATACTTTAACTAATATCATAAGTGTTTTAAGATTTCTTAAAACTAATGTTTTGTTTGTATATATATTTTTTTCCTTTGAGTTTCAACGAGCCGATTAAAGTTGATAATTATACTTTAACTAATTAAATTAGGTTTAAATTTTTATTTTAATTTATAATTTTATTTACTGTGTACAACAAACCATTATTATTAAAGATTCATTTAATTAACTACTGTTTTGTTTTGTTTTCTCTCTATGCAAAATAACTGGATAGCCATTTATTATAGTTTCTAGTTGACAAAAGTCAAACCAAAATATTTAGTTGATAAATTGGTGTGTTTTTTAATTTCAAAAGAGAAAAGAGAAATGTTTCGGTTCTAAAAATGTCGGCAGGTATGTTCTCACTTCTCAGCCATGAAATATAATTTCATTGCTAAAAATCTTTTTTTTTTTTTAGAGAATTTAAAACATGTTCCTACGAGTTGTCATTAAAAATTATATTCTTTTAGGAGCGCTGAAATAAATTAAAGAAAATGTATGCAAAAAAACTATATAAATTGACAATGAAATCCCTATTAGAATCAAATTAAAGCTTATAATACTATATATTAATTGAAGCACGAATTTTCTTTGTGCAAATCTTGAGAGTATTAATTTGAAATGAATTAGCCAGCAACGACTGCCAATTAATCGTTAATATGATTTAAGAAAGCCATCATTGTGTTAGGTTTAATCCAATACCATACTCAAAGGTAAATTAGTACATAAAGTTAATTTCTCTTTATTATATTTGTAACAGTTGAGATAAAATATACAGTAAAGAAGCAGGAAGACAAAAAGAGCATGAAATAGTGCATAAAGAGAAGATGAATAAGAGAAATTATTGGGGTAAATGAGAAAAGAGTAGGTAGGAAGAGATGAGGAAGATGAATAATATGGTAAAAAACAATCTTTCTATTTTATTTATATATATATATATATATATATATATATATATATATAAAAGCTCAACAACTCATAAACGAAAAAAGTAAAATAATTAATATTTTATTTATTGAGCTATGCTCGTATTGAGCACACAATGCACTAATTTAAGTATAGCTTAGATGATTTTGATATTGGGAGAGAGGTGCATAAGCTCTCTCTTTGACTCAGGAGGGCGTTCCACCACTTCGACTGATGCGGTATATTTATTTTAATTTTTTTTGTTAATTTTTTTAAAAAATAACCATATGAATTTTTTTATATTTCAAAATGTCAAATTTTAGTTTAAAAAAAAATAACTACTTTGTTTTGCTATTATTTTGCCACCTAATATATACATGTTCAATACATACCCTACTAACATATATGTCTCGACTACATACCCACACCGACTCATAACCATAAGTATTCAAAAGTGATCATATTAGCTCCATTTTTTTTATCCATTTTGCAACAAATTAATAGCAAGGACTATATCCAAAAGAGAAAAAAAAAACAAAATATTTAAATTATTATTTTTAAAAGTTTGAACATCAGTCAATTTTAGGGTCAAAATAGAACCAAATAAAAAATTTAGACTAAGATAAACATGATAAAAATTCTAAAGGAAAAATTAAAAAGTGAACACACTAAAATAGGATATTTACAAATTTAAAGAGGATCAAAATATGATTTAGACACAGAAATAAAGTTTCAAAAATATATAAATTAAAATAAATCATTCAAAATTACAAGAGTTAAACTTCATCAACCACTAAAATAGATAATTTAGAAGTACATAAATCAAATTGAATTAAAATAGAAAAATAGAAATCAAAATAATATTTATAATTAAGAAAATATAATAATTGGAGAGAGAAAGAGAGAGGCGTGGGAGTAGAAAAAGTAGGGCGTTGTCTTCTTATAAGGTGATGGAAGCATTTATTTAATGAAAGAAAGTGAAGGCGAGGGCAAGGCGTGAAGATAAGTCCAAGATCCAACTTTTCTCATTAAATTTTTAAATTTTTAAATTTTTAAAATTTTAAATTTAATGTGTTGTGTTCCCACCACGTTATCTTCCCTCTCTCACACGCAACCACCTTCATATAATACAAACAAACATTCATGCTTCCTCTCTACCTCTCCTTCATAAAAAATAATAATAATAATAATAATAAATTAAAAATTAAAAATGTGCCCATTTATAAAAGGAAAATACTTATGTCGCGAGGATCAAATATTATCTTTACTGTCACGAAAAATTGACAACTCATTAATTTTTATAAAAAGTCTATCTTTTCATTTTTTTCTTATTTTTTGCTTAGTTGTCAAATATTCAATGATCAAGAGTCGAGTATTTTCTTTATCAAGTTCAATCCAAAAAGGGTCAAACTCATCCTCACCTTTAAATTATTTGAAGATGAACAAAAGTGCACTTTTGTTTGCTTTTGCCAATTTCTAATCAAGAATCATTCAACCCAACTTTTTGCCTCATTCAAGATATGTTACAAAATTTCCTCACTATTTTTTTTTTCTTAAGTTGATATTAAGTTATTTCGAATGAGTTGTCTAAGAATATCCATAATAGATTTTATTAGTTGTCGAAAAGTTTTATATTATTATTGATCATTAATAGTGGAGGATGAGTGTAAGTGGTAAAATAATAATAATAAAAAAATGAAAGATATTATAGTAAATGATTTCTTTAATAAAAGCTCTTTATTAATCCTTGCGAGCGTAGGGGAACCTCGGCTTCCAACTTTCACTTTGTCAAATATTTATTTTTTGAATGTTTTTTCCTTTCTTTCTTTTATATACTTCATATTTAAAAAAATTTAAAGGGTCAAACTAAAAAAAATTACAAAATCTTAAGTATTTGATATATACTTTCTAAATTATAAAGTAAGAGGTGTTATTCCTTCTTTTACGTTGCTCTTCGTCTAGTTTCACTTCATATTTAAAGCATTTAGCTTTCAAGAATTTCACTCTTGAAGCTTTTCTTTTCTAAATTGTTCTTGCTTCTAAAGGAGACTAAAAAAAAGAATAAAGGAAATTAGTTTTCTAAAAGGAAGCTTTTATGTTAGTTTTTTAAATTTAATTTTCTCACCTAAAAACACCCAAACTATTCTAAAAAGAACAAAAGACTAAAGAAAAACCCAAACAAGTATTTCATATCTTATAAAATTAATTGTTAGAACTAAAATAACATAAATTGGAAATTAGTTTGATATTTTGCTAGCACGTTGATTGGATCTGAGGGTCAACTTTGGTGGGTCCGACGTGTTCATAATTTTCAGGAGTATGGCTATTTATGTCCACCACATTTAATAGATACATCAATAGAGATAATTATATATATAGATAGATACATGCACACAAAAATTTTAATGTTCGAAACCTCCATCCCAATAAATTAAAAATTAAAAACAAAACCAAAAGTTTGATCCTCGTCGAAATAATAATTAATTTTTTAAAAAAACAAATCTTCTTTTTATATTCAAGAATTTATGCATACACCACCGATTAACTGACAAAATTGAGTTAATTTAAAGTTTTTATTCGATATTCAACATTTTGGTTAGGAAAAAAAATGTCCATGAACTCTGATCATATCAAAGATGAAAGGGGTCTTTGGGCAAAAAAGTTATGGCAAAAGTCAAAAAAATCAAACGCACGTGCACAGTGAAATCAAATTCTGTAAACGGAAAGAAAAGGAAAAAAAGGAACCTTTACCTTAAATTTTTTTTTTCCTCGAAAAGGTAGGAAGTGGGTTTAATCGCATAAAAACACATCAACATATTACCTACTCCACTAAGGAAAACGTACTAAAATAATAATAATAATACTCCACTAAGGAAAACAAATATTCAGTACCTAATCCAACGCCTAGTATTTAACGTCAATAAGAGAGAGAGAGAAAAAAAAAACTTTGGTTATGTTGTTGACCTTTCTCTACTCTCTAACCTTAGTCGTTACATAAATATAATTTATATGATAAAGTTTCTGTGGAGGAAGTCTTGTCATATTAATTGTTGTATGCACAGTAATGGGAGAAACCAGGAAGAGAGAAAGAAGTTAAATTATAAAAAAATATCTATATCACTTAAAAACTTGCAATTATATCATTCACCTTTTATTGACATTATAAAAATAACATTTGAGTAAAGATTTGCAATAGAAGCAGAAATTTAAATGGCATGTGGGGTTGGGTACAATTAAAGCCAAAAGGTTAGGGTGGGGGCGTTTTGATTGGTGATTGGTGATTGGAGTGTTTTGGACAATCCGTTTGTTTGAACTTTAAAAGCTTTGGGGCAGCGGCTTTAATGGCGGAAATGGACAGTGGACAGTGGAGAGGGTCCCATTTTAAGAAAATTAAACGGTTGAGGAAACCAAGCAATCCATTAACA